TTGTGTTGGGTTCTATGCTGGATGTGAAGCCTACTTAAAAAAAGAAATCAGTGGCTTATTTTTTTGTGTGTGTGTTTTATGTTATTTTGATGACATTTAAATTTACGATGTTGAGGGGGACTTGGGTCGCTCAGTCCCTAGAGTGTCTGTGTTTGGCTCAGGTCACAATCAGGTCCTTGGTCCCTCTCACTCTGCCTCTCTCTCTCTCTCAAATACATAAAGCTTAAAAAAAAAAATCTAGAGGGGTGCCTGGGTGGCTCATGTGGTTAAGCATCTGACTTCAGCTCAGGTCATGATCTCGCGGTTCGTGGGTTCGAGCGCCGAATCGGGCTCTGTGCTGACAACTCAGAGCTTAGAGCCTGTTTCCGATTCTGTGTCTCCCTCTCTTTCTGACCCTTCCCTGCTCACGCTCTCGCTCTCTCACTCTCTCTCCCCCTCTCAGAAATAAATAAAACATTAAAAAAATTAAAGAAAAATCTGGGATGTTGACTAATGTGTAAGGACCCTCAATTGTAAATCTGAACATAAAATAAGAAAACAAATGTTAAAATTTGTTCCTGGTATTTTAATATACAAATTATGCTATACACAAGGCAGAATTTTATTTTAAATAGGAGCAAATGTAGTTGAGCTCATGTAAGTCAGAATCCTACACTAGATTTTCTTGTTTTATATGTAATTAAAATATTGATGACGGTTGTATTTGTTTCTTAGTTATGAGTCTCAAAGGAATAATTTGGTAATATACTATACGATTTTCACCTACGCAAAGGGGTTTTGCTTATTCATATTTACATTACTTCCACCTATTAGAGACATGGCAAATGATATAATAATGTTGTAAGCAATGTAAGGAAATACTTCTTTCTCAGCTTTTCTTTATTTTTTAGGCCATTTATGCTTCTGAAGTGTATGTTTCACTTATTTTTCATGATGTTCCCTAACTTTATTTTCGTTTGTTTCTTCATAATCAAATTGAGGTTATGATTTTTTCGATCTAGGAAGCTACCTAAATAATGTTGTGGGCTTTGCAGGGTTATCACACTCAGGGCCACATACTGTTTTTTGTCCACTTTTTGATGATGTTAATTTTGTTCTCTGGTTAAAGATCTTTGTTTTCTTCACTGCAGAATCACTTTGTTTCTTCTGTAGCTAACCAGCAGTTGTGGGTGGACACTTTATGACTTTGCCTTCCAAGTCAGACTTTCCTCTCCTAGACTTAGTACCCACTGATGATTCTTAGTTGAACCAGTTTCTTAGAGCTTTTGACTTTGATTTTTGTGTAGTTTGAAACTTAGAGAAAAGAAAATTTGCAATAATAACGTAAGGACTTTTATATACTCTTTGCTCCATCTCACCAATTATTTACATTTTATATATTTAGATTGTAAAATGGTATGAGTCCTTATCTCAAGTAGTATTGATTTTCATCGCCTCCTAGTTTAACTGAAAAGTGTTTTCTTCTTACTATTCTGCGTAATTATGAAGTCTTTTTTTTTTTATAGTTCTCCTTATTTTTATATTCCCTCTTCATTTAAGGTTTCTGAATACTGATCATTTTCTAAGAAATTTTACGTGTAGGTATGTATATGTGCATATATGTACATATGAATTTAGCAATTCTATGTACCTTTTAAATTACTCTTTAATGTGGGCATGGGACAAATATTTTTACATCATACAGTTCCATAGATAAGGCTCTGGAATTTAAGAAAGGCAACCCACCAACACTTTTGGTCATGACTCTTAAAAACTACCTTTCCTAGCGAGGGGCACCAGGGTGGCTCAGTTGGTCGAGCGTATGTCCATCTCTTGGTTTCAGCTCAGGTCATGATCCCAGGGTTGTGGGATCGAGCCCCACATTGAACTTCATGCTGAGCGTGGAGTCTACTTAAGATTCTCTCTCTCCTTCTGTCTCTTTCTCTACTAGTGCTCTCTATTAAAAAAAATTACCTTGTGAGTATTCTTTGATTCATTTTCATTCAACAGGAAGGTATAGAGTGCCTATAGTATTTAAAAGATCGTGTGGAAGAAACCAGGTAATCAAAATGCCTTATATTTATAATGTTTTGCAGTTTGAATATGCATTTTCTTAATTGTTATTACCAATAACTCAGCAAAGTAGATAGTTCAGATAGATTTATTCTCATTTTATATGAAGAAATTGAGGTCTTGAAAGAGTGTGACTTAACCAGGGTCCCATAGCTAGGGAGCGACAGCTTAAGTGTGAGCCAAAGGATAAGCTCAGTGCTCTTTTAAATTCTCCTTCACCACCTTTATGCAGTGACTAAGCATATGTTAATTTATGTAAATTCATGACCACAACAGGGGTATGTTTTAATTTATTCACTTAATATTTATCTTAAGTGCTTCAAGGGCAGGGATAGGATCGGCAGAATAAGATCAAGACAGTGTCTTATAAGTTCATATGAGTACCTTCCAGGTACTTTCAGTTAAGACAGTGATGTGTGTTGGCTCAGTTGGTTATGTGTCCAACTCTTGGTTTTGGCTGAGGTCATGATCTCGCTGTTGGTGAGTTCGAGCCCTGAATCAGGCTCTCTGCAGATAGCGTTGAGCCTGCTTGAGATATTCGGTCTCTTTTTCTGCCCCTCCCTTGTATGCACATTCTTGCTCTTAAAATAAATAAATAAATAAATAACATTAAAAAAATAAAAAGCTTGTGTCTTGTGTCAGAATGCTTGAATATATGAGAATGGTTATAACATACATTTTCTTGTTTTGTTGGTGGGCCTATTGAATGTGACTATTAAACATGGTGGTGGGCAGGTAAGGGAAACAAAAGCCAAAGTGAACTATTGGGACTTCCTCAAGATAAAAAGCTCCTGCACAGCAAAGGAAACAATCAACAAAACTAAAAGGTAGCCTATGGAATAGACGTTTTTCCAAAGAAGACAGTCAGATGCTTAACAGACCTATGAAAAGACGCTCAATGTCACTCATCAGGGAAATACAAATCAAAATCATAATGAGATACCACCTCACACCTGTCAGAAGGACTAAACAACACAAGAAACAACAGGTGTTGGAGAGGATGCAGAGAAATGGGAACCCTCTAGAACTGTTGGCAGGAATGCAAACTGGCACAGCCACTCTGGAAAACAGAATGGAGGTTCCTCAAAAAGTTAAAAAAGAACTACCCTACAATCCAGCAATTGTGCTACCAGGTATTTACCCAAAGGGTACAAAAATATTGACACTAAAGGGGCACATGCACCTCAGCGTTTATGGCAGCATTATCTACAATAGCCAAACTATAGAAAGAGTCTACATATCTGTTGACTGATGAATGGATAAAGAAGATGTGGTATATATACACAATGGAATATGACACAGCCAACAAAAAGAATGAAATCTTTCCATTTGCCACAGTGTGGCAGGAGATAGAGTATTAAGCTAAGTGAAATAAGTCAGTCAGAGAAGACAAATTATAGGATTTCACTCATGTGCAGTTTAAGAAACAAAACAGATGAATATACGGGCGGTGAGGGAAAAAGAGAGGGAAATAAAACATAACAGACTCTTAATGATAGAGGACAAACTGGGGGTTGATGGAAGGAAGAGGGTTAGGGATGGGCTAGATGGGTGATGGGTACTAAGGAGGGCACTTGTGATGAGCACTGGCTGTTGTATGTGATGAATCACTGAATTCTACTCCTGAAACCAGTATGCCCTGTATGTTAACTAACTGGAATCTAAATAAAAATTTGGAAAAAAAAGATAGTGGTGGGCTGGTCTACACTTACTAAGATCACTGTTCCAGATCAGTATATTAAGGATCCTTAACACACACCATTACATTGGTTGTTTTACTTACGTGTCATGGATTATGTCTGTGCGACATCTTCCCTCTTTCCACCCATAACCTCCCAGAGTGTCAGTGCCGGAAAGAACAGAAATGTATCTTTATTTTCTCATTACTTCCTCTCTAGAATAGATAATACTTTCATTGCTCTCTTTCCAATTTGGCTTCGAGTCACTGGTGTTGAACAGTCTTTCAAGTTAGCAGTTACTAGTTAAGTAAAAATTATTGGGAGACTGCCCGTCTTACCAGTGTAGCTAAGGTAGTTTTTACTAAATCGGTTATTAGGGCTGTGTTGTCCGAGGCATGTGACAGTTGCATTTCACACATCTTTCTTATTAAATTGTGTTACTGAAGATTTATTGAAAGTTAAACTTAAAACTTTGTCCTTCTGGTTCTGAGTTTAGAGAAACCAATTACCTGTCAAGTTCAGTGAAGCCACATTTGTGCTGTTTAATATTTTAAAATAAAACTTAAACTGTTTTAGTCTTGTCTTTGCTATTTTTGCCTTACCTGATTAAATTTTGCTCTTGTGTTAATTAATAAGTTCAAAGGAAATGCTCTAATTAGTTTCTGTCATAACTGGGAACCATCATAAGTTAGAGTACTTTGGAAAGCACGGAACACCTGCTCACTAGTAAATATCAATTCCTGGTCTGGCTCTTTTCCAGTCTTGCTAACTGTGTCTAAATGTGTGAACCTCTTACCATCTGCATACTTCAATTTTCCTCTAAAGTAAAAAAAAAAAAAGTCTTACCTGTATTCTACCCAGTTCAGAGTTTTGAAAGATAACGGGAGGTCATTAAAGTGTAGTTAAAATCCATAACTGTTGAAAAAATCATTGGCTTTAAAATATACTCTCGTGAAATAGTAATATGCTATTTCAAGACCACGGCCTCTTTTAGTGTATTTCGTTGCTTAGTCTAAGACCTCTGTTTTCAGAATTCAGTGTATTTGAAGACCAGTCTTACTGTTGAATTGGACAGGGCTGGCACAAGGCCAATCTAACGAGCCCAAAGGGAAAGTTTGCAGAAAATGCAGGCTTGAAGGAGCTGTAGCACTGACTTGCCACGCAGGCCCGGCTCTCCGTGTGCATTCCTGTGGGTGGGAGATTTGCTTAAAGTGGACTGTTTTCTTCCTTCCATCCCATCTGATTCCAATCTGTACTTGTCTTTTATAGCTAGAGACGGTCGGATGGCAGCTTAACCTTCACATGGCTCACTCTGCCCAAGCGAAACTGAAATCGCCTCAAGCCCTGTTACAGCTGGGAGTGAGCAGTGAGGATTCAAAGGTAAGAAATGGTACCTCGGTGAAGTGCTGCGTTTTGTTTACCAGGTATGTCTTGTACTTTACTGTTAGAAGAGTCTCTGCCCTCCCTGGATTGAAAATTTAAACACAATTAAATTAAAATTAAACAAGGCTTAACGAGTCGATAGATCTTTACGACAGGTTTTGATAATCAGATTTACTTATCCCTTTGTTATTCATTTGAAGAAATGTCTTGCAAGAGCATTTCAATACCTCTTCTTTTAAATTCTGCAATGGGAACCCTTGGTAATAGCCATATAAAAGTAAGATTTCGATGATTTAGATATTTGTGGATATTTCTGGGTGTTTTTTGAGTAGTAGATGAAGTACTGTCGTCTAGCCAATGCCTGCGTTACCAAGATGGCGTGAATTGTGTTTGCGTGTGTGTATAACACTGTGTGCATGAGTTTAAGCCCTAGCTCTTGCAAAACAGAATTGTGGATTCGTTTTCTACTGCGTGATGATTTCTTTTTTAGCGTTAATTTCAGAAAGCTTGAACATCTTATCAAAGTTAAAAGAATTGGTATGGGATTTTTATTGTAGCATATGAAGAAATATATTTAAGATAGCAGTAAGAGCTATTTGTTATCTTTTTATTGTAGCCGATTATCTCTTTAAGATAGATAAAGGGGAGTGACTCTTTCCCCCTAAATAAAGGAGACTTTGCTTCATTTTAAGGCAAAAGAGAGGTGAGAATGAGGTAGGAAGATCTGAGGAAAGTGAGATAACCATGGCTGGACGTGATCAGAAAAATAATGGGAGGAATGTTATTGTTTATAATGGGCACTGAAGGAGGGAGCAGTATTACTTCTTTATTAGAACTTTCCTTAAGTATTATATCATGTGCATTTTTGTCTTCCATAGGAACGGGACCAGGTTAACATGTCTATAAAATTTTAGGCAATCGAGTTGGGTCTCACTGTATATAATTTATTAATTCATTGTGGTGTTTCAAAACTATTTCATTTCATACATTTTAAGTTGATAAATATGATATAAATAACAATAATATATAAAATAATATGTTTCGTGGTCAAGAGTTGAAGTGACTGGTGTATTATATATGCTCTGTAATTCACTAGTGGTGTAGCCTTGGGCAAGTCACTTCATCTTTATGAGTGTCGGTTTCTTCACCTGTAAACTGGGGATAATATTACCCAACACACAGGGTTTATGTGAAGATGAGAAATGCAGGATATGGAGTGCTTATTTAGTCCAATGCCTACTTTACGTAGAAATGCTTAAAAAATGCAGGCTGCTTAAGTGTCCATCAACAGATGAATGGATCAAGAAGATGTGGTTTATCTATACCATGGAATACTACATGGCAATGAGAAATAATGAAATCTGGCCATGTGTAGCAACATGGATGGACCTTGAGGGTGTTATGCTGAGCGAAATAAGTCAGGCAGAGAAGGACAAATATCATATGTTTGCACGTATAGGAGGATTAGGAGGAGCTTGATGGAGGAACAAGGGGGAGAAGAAGGGGGGAAATGGTGGGGGAAAGGGAGAGAGGCAAACCATGAGAGACTCTTGAATGCTGACAAAAACTGAGGACTGATGGATGTGGGGGGGAGGGGGGATGGGCATGGAGGAGGACACTTGTGGGGATGAGCACTGAGTGTTATGTGGAAACTAATTTGACAATAAACTATTTGTAAAAATAAAAAAAAAATGCAGGCTGCTACCATCTTCAGCAGCAGCAGCAGTAAACCTTATTTTTTGGCTAATAAATAAATGCCTTTGTTTTAAGCCAAAGCCGACAGTGAATTTATTTCCTGAATAAATTAATCATTTCCATTTCCTTGCCCCTTTTCCCCTTTTTAGTTCTTCATCATAGTTTTCATATTTATGCTTACTGAGACCTGGGGAGGGAAAGGACAGCCTGGAAAGCCTGGGCTTTAGTTCTTACAGTGAACTAGGGAAGGCATGTCTTTAGGTTTGGGATGGGTCTGGAACTCAGTAGCGTAGACTGGGACTATTCTGAGTGAATACACACATGCATACCTATGTCCAAACGTACGTACACACACATTCATACATTCTCCAAGCAGCTGTACACCTTCACTGTTGTATTTCTCAGGACTATCATGTGTTATGTCTGAGTAGCTCAATGGAGTTGATAGGTTGGAAGGAAACTCTTGTGACCATATATGGGGTGTACTTGAAGCATCATTGTGGAGGCGGTGCTGGACCTAGGGAGGCCTGAGACCTTCCAGCTCCTTTATGATGCCTTCAAAATCTGTTTATATGTCAATTCTAATTTTAGACAGTAGGAATGAATGAGTAATGCTTCTAGTAAAAGAGTCATGCTTTTAATCCGTGTTAACTCCGAAAATTTCTACAGACATGAAATCCAACTCACTGGAAGATAGAGCCTGGAGTATGTTTGTATTTCCCTGTGTGTTGCTGTTTTGAAGTTTTGAGTGCGTGTTTGGTTATCCATAGAACTTGTAGAGCCAGAGAACCAATTGCATTGACAGACCGTTTGCAAACCATCCCACAAAGGCAAAGGCTCTTTTCTTTTCTTTTCTTTCCTTCCTTCCTTCCTTCCTTCCTTCCTTCCTTCCTTCCTTCCTTCCTTCCTTCCTTCCTTCCTTCCTTCCTTTAAGAGTTTATTTATTTTGAGAGAGAGACAGAGAATGGGCAGGGGAGGGGCAGAGAGAGAGGGAGACACAGAATCCAAAGCAGGCTCCAGACTCTGAGCTAGATGTCAGCACAGAGCCTGACGCAGGATTCGAACCCACAAACCGTGAGATCATGACCCGAGCCAAGGTCAAGAGTCGGATGCCCAACCAACTGCGCCACCCAGGCACCCTGATATTTTCATTTTGCATGCAAACTTAAGTGTTCCTCTGTCTCCGTATTGCCCATCTTCCCTATAGCATTCTGTGGACTTGACCCCTGTTTCCCATATCTGCTCAAGAAGAGCCACATAATGGAGGGTATCACAGCTATCAGCCTGGACAGACACCTTCCATCTCCAAGTGCTGTGTGTCCAGTTCTAAGGAGTAGTTCACTACCACATCACTGTTCTCTCAGGAAACTACTTCTGGGAAACTTCATTTTTTCTTTGTTCATATTCTCCCTCTCTCTCTTTATGATCTGGTACTCTATTCTTTCTGCTCGTGTGAGAATTTGGTAATTCTTGACAGGTGGGAATATTAGATGACAGGAACAGAAATATGGAGCATGTTTTAAAAACCAAGTTTGTTAACAGAAGGGAGAATGTTTAAAAACAAATTTTTAAGTTTATTTTGAGAGAGAGAGCACATGTGTAGAGGAGGGGCAGAGAGAGGGCGCGTGCGCGCGCGAGAGAGAACATGCAGGGGAGGGGCAGAGAGAGAGGGAGAGAGAATCCCAACCAGGATCTGTGCTGACAGCAGAGTCTGATGCCAGGTTCGAACTCACAAACCATGATATCATAACCCGAGCCGAAAGCAAGAGTCAGATGCTTAACCAACTGAGCCACCCAGGCACCCCGAAAAGGGAGAAGATTTATTGAAAATGATGAAAAGTTATCACTGGTTAGTTTATGATGGTAAGTTTCATAGAATACCGAGTTGCCATATTATGAAGTTGGCATTTGTTTAAAGTAGAAGGCATTAAATAAAATTCTTTTAAGTGGATTTGTTAAAGGGTAGTTTTCCTGAAAATAAGCATGTGTTAAAATAATTCTGAGACAGGCCCCTGGGTAGCTCAGTCGGTTCAGCATCTGACTCTTGTTTTTCACTCAGGTCATGATCTCACGGTTTGTGAGATCGGGCCCCACAATGGGCTCTGTGCTGACAGAGCGGAGCCTGCTTTGGGCTCTCTGTCTCTTCTTTCTCTGCCCCTCCCCCGCTCACTCTCTCTCAAAATAAATAAATAAGCTTAAAAAAATTCTGAGAGGGTTAGTCAGTGAAAACTATGAGAGACTACTTTGATGGTGTTTACTTTTGAGCTGCTGAGCCAAAAACTTCCTGTAATTCACCTACGTGTGTGTTTTTTAAAAGTCTTGCTTCTCATTCCCTTCCAGTGTACACATGAAAAACATAGCCTGCAGTGAAGTAATTGCTATCACATAAGATAGGTCTGTTGTACTGGTCCCCTTTCTCTTGGAACATTCTTGTCTCAAGGCTTTCCTGTTTTGCTACTAATTTTATCATGAAAACTGGGTGATTGCAGCTTCTCTTGCAGTATTTTGATTTATATATTCTAGCTGTTTGCAGTTAATTGTCTTGGTGTTTTTCTACTGCATTTACCAAAGTAAGATTATTTTCCTGTTCCGAGATACATCACAAAGAGATTTTTGTGTTTGTGGGGTTTTTTTTGTTTTGTTTTTTGGTTTATTTCATTAGAGGGCAGTAGAGTTCTTTGCTTACCTAACCTCTGGCATTTACAGTGTTATTTCAAATAACATTCAAAATAATTTGTGAAGTCAGTAGTTGTGGGAAATGCTAAGTGTTCACATTTCTAATCTGTACATAACAATAGAGTTCTCTTGTTTCCATCAACAAAATTAATGCCTATTAATCAGATATGTACAGAACAAATAAATGAAATCATCATGACTTCATTGTTTGTTAATTTCTCTGTGATTATTTGCCAAAATGAAATTGATTAAAAAGCCTTCAACACTATTGACATTTTTGTTATATTCTGTTGCTTGTGTTAATTTCTTTGTGAGAAAAGAGGACACAGTAATCCCTAAGATAGTTGAGCGGTTCTAAGATAACTAGTTCCAGGCTAATCATAGACAGTTGAAATTTCTTTATTTATCGAGAATAGCAATTTTGTACTTAACAAATGTTGGTAGTTTTGAACATTCCAAGCACTTTAATTTTGAATTCCCTAAAAACACTAAAATATTTAAATTTTGCTGTGAATCTCGCATTATTGTGTTTCCCCCAGGAACTTTGCACTTCTAAGACAATCATGTTTTGTTAGTACAGTGATTCTAAAATGTATTTGTACATTTTTTAAGACAGAATAGTTGTG